GCCCACTGCTGAGCAAAGCCTCTTCTCACACGGAGAAGGTTTGAGCATTAATCACCACGCTTGCTCGGGTTGGCGATTTCAAACTTATAATTAGAAATTATAAGTCCTGGTTTCCTCACGATGTTTTTCCTTCACCGAGTTTCAGTGGTGTCTAAATAATCTTAGAAAGTACATATAACTCGGAAAAAGTCACATTGGTGCTTGCCGTTGGTAGGTTTCGAACCCGCACTCTCATGCATGAGAAGTGGGCGTTTTAAACTTCCGGGCCACCACAACACATAAAATGGAGTAGCGTTTGAGTATTTCAACGTTAGACAATTATGGAGAGTTTAAAAGATCAAAGACACCTTTACTACTGTATTACTATTCCACCCCATTCCCCATCTTCCCAGTCCTCAAATCCTTTGGTGTTGCCAAAGGATTTCCACAGGCAGCGCCGATTGCTTAACACCAGGTGATCTGTCTGCTCGATAGCCGGCCTATACCATAAAAAAGTCGCGGTGGATTTAACGGGTTGCAGGAGCTCCGGCTAGGCAGGAGTAGAAACGGGAGGTTTTTAGTCAGTAAGAGTCTGAGAGCGACACTCCCTCCCGCCTCACCCAGGCGGGGGAAGTAATTCGATGATTTTCCCCCCAATTTCTATCAGTATTCCGTTCATCACATGACCTCAACAGCAGTACCTACGTAAAACCCAAACTCCCGAGTCAATTCAGAGCCAATAAATTAAAAACAAGGCAAGCTTGTTTTTTTTTACGACAATTAACTATGAGTGTATGTTTTAATCACGATTCGTATGAATATTTTTTGATATCTTCTGGTAGTCGGGCGGCGACCGCTTCCGTACAGTTGACCTTATCGAGTCACCTTTGAAATAATTGTTTATACCTCATATATATAAGCGTTTATACCTACGTCTAGAGGGCAAACTACTACAGAGGAGGCTGATAACCTCTACAATGCGAAAACCATGCATAATATACCACTCGAACAAATATAGACTCAAACAAAAAGATATAAAGTCGATTTGGGAATAATCTGCAAAGTTGGAAAGGTCATAAAATGTTTATATTATTGCATGTCAATTTGGACTTTATGTGTGGTATTTAAAGTTACTTTTCGATTATAAGGATTTTGGTTATGGATGCGTGTTTTGCAAAGAGCATATAACATCATCACGCCTTTTATCCCCGAAGGGATAGGCAGAGGTGCACATTACGGCACTTAATGCGACTGTCCAATGTAACACCCACTTTTCACTATTTATGTTATGAGACCCATGTAATAGGGGGTGAGCAGCTACCATATACCGGGCAGAATTCCAGACAACATGCTACTAATGAGAATTTTTTACGCTTTTGCAAAGAGCGCAAAGCGATAATTGCCTATTCAGCAGCCTGCAAGTGATGAAAGAAACAACCTCGCTATCATCTGAGGGTTTAATATGAGTAATCGAAATGAGACCGCGTTCGGCGCTCTGATTGGCCGGCTCCAATGAACCAACCAATCAGAGCGCGCAACGCGGTCTCGTTACGATTACTTTTAACGTAAAACAAACTCGTACCATCTTTAAACAACAACTGTTGTTGGTACACAATCGTATCGTAACTATAACCCTTAAGAAGGATTTAAAATGAATCATCAAGAATTAATGATTGTATTATCTATCTTCAATAGGCAATCAGCCCACGAACGCTAATCATAGATAGGCGTTGCAAAATAAATACATATATAATGCCTAGTCAGTATTGCGCCATGTATGGCAATCGTTTACTGAAATGATTTCGAAAAAACTCTACCCACGATCAAAGAAGCTTACAGCATTTTTTTTTTGAGAGGAGATTATCATCAAATGACTTCTGCTGCCAAAGATGAGGCGAGAGGGAGTGTCAGACTCTTACTGACTAAAAACCACACCGTTCCTACTTCGAGCCAGAGCCCCGGCAAACTCTTCAGTCTTCCGCGGTTCTGTATCGGTCATCAACTCTACTAGGCCCTATATGTAATGGTCTAATGGCTTTTTGAGGTGCGCGAGGAACGTGACACGCTGTACTCTCGGGCAGTCTCGGGTCTATTTTTTAAGGAGGGTATGTCATCAAATGACTTCTCCCGCCTGGGTAAGGCGGAAGGGAGTGTCAGACTCTTACTGACTAAAAACAACCCCCTTCTTTCTCCTGCACTTCGAGCCGGAGCTCCGGTAATCCGTTAGGTTCTCCGCGCCGTACGCTCGGGTCTACGGACAGGACTCGGTTCGATTCACACCTCGAGTAAAATGTATTAGTATTTTCGATGTCAAATTTATCAATTATTTGTTTGGAATTTTAAATGTGTAAACTTGTGTTTCATAATAAATGACTTCCTCTATATGCATTCCAACTTATCTCTTCGAGGAAAACAGGGCGCAATGTTACATTACGAAGTCAAAAACAGAAAGAGGAAATGTCATAACGATTAGATAGACGAAAAAGCATAGGTCATCATTATATGAATGATAAATAGACCATGCTTCACCCAGCACCTCTATTGATATTAGCTATAAGGATGATTTTCCATTGTTTTAGTTTGTCTGTAGTGTATTGTAGGTAAATTAGGTAAGTATGAAATTTGTAGTAATAGAGTTTTTTGTACAATTTAAACTTATACACTTGGGACCAAAAAAACAGAGACACTATTTTTTTAGCGGTCTAGGTAGGTTTACTTTTATCATTAATAACATAAGCCAGTAAACGAGCAGAGGGATCACCTGATGGTAAGCAATCGGCGTCGCCCATGGACACCTGGACCACAAGGCGCTACAAGTGCATTACCGGCCTTTTGGGAACTTGAGGATTGTGGAGGATACGGGGATTTTCATATATTGTTGTCTTTTCCGTGTTTTCATTGAATAAAAACCTCTTATTAGAATACCAAACTAACAATTCGCCATGATTAATAAAGTTAAAATATCTTAGTTGGGAAATTGAGTGCCTTCCACAAAGAACATTCAGATTAAATCTTCGGCTTGAATGTTTCTGTTGTTTATCATTTGCTCTTTTAAAAAAAAAAACGTGCTAAAAAAATCACCGAGCGATGCTTGGTCATCCAGTTACTATATATATTAAACTGTCAAACACCACGAGGACACCGGAGACCGCAATCTATTGTTCTTTAATTGTGTCAATAATGACGGTACTCAAAGTGTTAAAGTTACCAAATATTTTCCTAGAATTACCTATCTTTATTAGTTAAACATAAGGAAATACTGTGAACCAGATTTAATCTTTTACACACCGAGGTTATTACAGAACTTAACTATAAAAGTGTAAACTCATTTATTCTAAGAACAGATAACATAACTTCATGCTATTTTATCCCCTGAAGTGGTACACAGAGGTGCACATTACGGCACTTAATGCCAATGTACAATGTAACAATCACTTTCCACTATTTATGTTATGAGTCCCATCTAATAGGGTGTGAGCTTATTGCCATATACCGGGCACAATTCCAGACTCCGTGCTACTACTGAGAATTTTCTAACACCTGTGTTTGTATGACTGTTTGTTTGTCTGTCATGATTTTAACCCATATATCCCCAAGCGGTCACCAGTAACCGCTCTCCACTAACATTACTTTACATTATAGACCTTATTTCCAATTTTTAGAGACTACTTTTGTATGACCAAATTTAGGGGATGGATTTCAACGGGTTAGGATCTACAAAATGTTGAGAAACTGATTGATAGAGTGACTTGTGGACTGTATGATTGGTGCAGTGGCTGAGCCTGCTGCACAAAGTGTTGTGAGTTGTGTGTTGGACCCATACATTGTTGTTCTGGGTCTGAGTGCATGGTAAACCTATAAGAAATTATATGTCTAGTGTCAATAACAGACTGAAGTGTTGTTATCATTCATCATCATCATAATCATCAACAGCTTATAAGTGTCCACTGCTGAGCAAAGCCTCTTCTCACACGGAGAAGGTTTGAGCATTAATCATCACGCTTACTCAATGATGGTGAGCGATTTCGAACTTATAATTAGAAATTTTAAGCCCAGGTTTCCTCACGATGTATACCTTCACCATTTGTCAGTGGCGTCTAAATAATCTTAGAAAGTACATGTAACTCGGAAAAAGTCACATTGGTACTTGCCGTTGGTATGTTTTAAACCCGCAGCCTAATGCATGAGAAGCGGGCATCTTAACCTTAGGCTTCCACTGCATGTTGTCATAACTAACTTGAATTCATAATTTAACCGGTGAAAATGGTACAGTTTAACCATTGGTCTGAACTGGTCTAACAATAAGAAACAACACAAAAACAACTAGTTTTTGTGTTGTTTCTTATTGTTCGTTATTTTTTTAATTAGAATTTTGTATAAAATATAAGACACCTATTAATTTGCCTATAAACAAATAACATTTTCCAATAAAAATATCCATTTTCTTCTCATTTACAACTTCCTTATTATCTCCTATTGGAAAAGAAAAAAACACGTGTAACGATTGTTTACTAATTACAATAACAATAACCATAGATATTGAAGCCAATGACTCGAATTAATTCGTAATTCGAACAGGAAACTTAGGTGAACTCCCTCAAACCGCCTCAACGAAAAATGTTTACAAAAACAGGAGAAAAACCACGGGAAAAACAAGTATTAAAACTATGTTACTTCAAATACCAATAAGACTAAATATCGACGCAAAAATATGAAGAACAGGTAAGAATTGTAAAGTATATAATTTTAGAATTTTTATTGTATCTTTGCATGTTTAAATGATCAGCGTTCTTGAGAACTTGAGTGGCCTACGTCATGATTGTTACGTAAACTTTAATGTCTGAACGACGACTTTTATGTCAACAGCATGGAGTTTTGAAAGAGTTCGTGACGAAATCCAACCAACCCAATCCGGCCCTGAGTACATGCCTCGGTGATAAACACACAAATGGACAGATGCGACGTGACAAATCAGAATTTATTGTCACGGGGCAACAATATGTTATTGATAAAGACTATACCTATAGTTTTGTTCGTAGTCCCAGTAGTCCTTGTAACGCGGGTGCCAGCGCGGGCCCCCGCGCGAATAGGGCCTTCTTGAGCCCCCCTGGCTCATGACCTCTGCGCCATACCAGCTCGTTTTATCGATCCGCGCCGACACGCCGGAGCTCAACGCTCCGCTCCGCCTCACTAACACCAAACAACACAACACTGACACACTGCACTGCGACACTTTTACAAGCACAAGGATTATTTGAATTTATTATTTCTAGGACTCCCACTGAGCCCTACGCTCTTGTTTTGGAACCTACTGCAACGACGCGAAGCTCGCGCGGACTGAGCTCACGCAAGCGCACGAAGTCTTTATGTCAGCAGCGCTGCCTAGTGTACGCGCCACGCACTACATTCAAAAACGACCGCGAAATTCAACATTTTGTTAGAAATATTTTTTTGATACACACAACAGTCACAAAATGAAATGGCACGACTTAGAGTTAACATTAAAGAATAAATAATGCGTTAGTGCAATAAAATCCAGTTCAAAGCAGGGTACGGATTAACACTTCAGTCAGTATTGATTTTATATTAGCGGCACGTATGCATCGCATTATAGTTCTTCACAAGCTAATAATAAAATGTCCTGGATGTCCGAGAACAACGGGCGTGTTATCGCGCACTTAAAATGGTTCGTCACCGTTCACATAATTAATGTGAATCAGGCTCGGTGATCTCGCCTCGGTCGTCACGCACTGGCGCATACCATAATCTCGTGAAACGCACACTATTAACGCAAAACAGTTTTTCCATGAAGAAATAGAACATAGAAACGGCAAAAACCAAGCAGTTTCAAGAAAAAATCCAAGATAATGTAACGCTATGCGCCCAGTCCGGACGACCGATACGTAAGCCTCATTAAAAAAAGTTTACACAACTCGTGTTATCTGCGGATTGTTCGCTGTATTCAGCGGTGTTGTTGTGGTTCTTGTTGGACTGGTGTGAGTGGGTAGCGCTGTAGCGCTTGAGAAACGGATGGGTCCGCCCATTGTTATTATAATGCAGCCAACATGACGCACATAGTGCAGTGTGAAGTTGGCGACGAGTGGCCACGTGTTGGTGTCTCTGTCCCGCCAATGGGAGCGAGCGAGGCAGTGTATTCTGGTGTGTAGGGGCGCGGCGTGCGTGCCTCGCTCGCGTTATGGCGCCTACCGAAACCCATGCAGCGTTCGCGATGCTATTTTTGTGATGACACAACTGCGAGACCGACTTTCACTTAATTTCGTCTTATTTTGCAACAGAAGCGAAGTGGTGACTGTTATAACGGGCACCCATATAATAAAGTTACGGTATTCTTCTTAAAATCTAGTTGGATATGAATTTCCCAACTTATTAGATTTTAATCCGAATAGGTACTTAGTTTTCTCTATGGATAAAAACTTAAAAGTTTAAATAGGTAATCAATGAACTCGTTTTAAATAAGGTATCAAGATAGCCTCATTTTTATTGTATTTATTGGTATTTTAAGTAAGTACCTACCTAGTCAACTACAATTAATCTAATTCGGTCAAGTTGCATATTAGGTCACTATTACATACAGACACTCGATTACATATTTGCTTTTACAAATATGTACTTAAAATGACGTAATATGACCTAATTTTTATAGAGCACGAATAAATAGCACTTAGTTACAGTATTTTTTTAAGGGGGGAAAATCAAATTATTGCTCCGGCCTGGGTGAGGCGGGAGGGAGTGTCAGTCCTTCTTTCTTTTCTTTCTTTAAAAAAAAAACGTTGCCCCACACTAGGATTTACTCCTGTGTCGTGGGTACCCCTATACTTATTATACTCTTTGAGGTGCGTTTACAAACATACAAGTTCACATACACATGACACCCAGACCCGGAACAACAATTTGTGGATCACACAAAGTGTTGTCTCGTGCGGGAATCGAACCCGCGACACGTTGCACGGCAGCCGGTTGCCCAGCCACCGCACCAACCGTGCAGTCAAGTCTCTTACTGACTAAAAACCACCCCGTTCCTTCTCCTGCACGTCGAGCCGGAGCCCCGGTTACCCGTTAGGTTCTCCGCGACTGATTACAGTATGGCTCCGACCCGTAGTAACAGTCGACCTAGCTACTATTATGTGCAGGAGTAGGAACGGGGTGGTGTTTAGTCAGTAAGAGTCTGACACTCTTTCTCCAGTGACTTCAGTCTCTCAGTGACGGGAGAAATCACTGGCTGATATACACCGCTCAAAAAATGTATCATTATAGTATACCATACCTTATTTAATTATTTTATTTTGTGTCGAAGACAAATTCGGCTTTTGACGGCCGTTATTTGGTCTCTATTTCTTCTGATGGTAAGCTACGACGACGTTTGATGATAATTGCGTTTAAGACAGTCTTATATAAGGTAAAATGAAAACCAACACAAATAATATAAAAATCATATATTTATTATACATTTATTATGTACAAAGGAAATATTATTCATAGGTCGATAGATAATTTTACGAAACTCCACATAGAAATTTCATGTTATAATTGGGATGATGACAGGGTATGAAAATTAAAAATCTAATTAATCCGTAAGTTAGGTAATAATAAAATATTAGACACGTATTTTTTTATTTTGTCGTATAATAAAACAATACTTAGATAAAGCGAATCAAAGTTTAGGAGTGGGGGCTAAAACGTCATTTCTACGTATAAAATGTACATAGAAGTGACGTCACGCTACATTACAAATCAATATATCGCCGAAAGTATTCGTTTCTGTAAGAAAATAAAAAATACGTGTCTAATGATTTAAAAATTATTATTAAAAAAACAAAATACCCGACTGCACACTAAAAAAAGAGTAAAACAAGCCCCACAATAATATTGATCAATCAAATGCTAAAAACTAATTATGTAATACCGTTTAAACAATACCTATATTAAAATACACTACAATATGTGTTCGTAATCGATAGTTAAATAAACAGAAACTTATTTTGAATACAAATTTACTGAATATAATTTATAAATGTTGATGGAAAGCATCGCAGGCGGGGACCACCTTGACCGCCACCAACGAAAATTCTGCTAAATGGTGCACAACCGAAATGACTATAAATAAGCCTCTGTTGGTCCCCGCCTGCGATGCTTTCCATCAACATTTATAAATTATATTCAGTAAATTTGTATTCAAAATAAGTTTCTGTTTATTTAACTATCGATTACGATAATATCGCATCGATCCCCGCAGGCGGGGACCAACAGAGGCTTATTTATAGTCATTTCGGTTGTGCACCATTTAGCAGAATTTTCGTTGGTGGCGGTCAAGGTGGTCCCCGCCTGCGATGCTTTCCATCAACATTTATAAATTATATTCAGTAAATTTGTATTCAAAATAAGTTTCTGTTTATTTAACTATCGATTACGAACACATATTGTAGTGTATTTTAATATAGGTATTGTTTAAACGGTATTACATAATTAGTTTTTAGCATTTGATTGATCAATATTATTGTGGGGCTTGTTTTACTCTTTTTTTAGTGTGCAGTCGGGTATTTTGTTTTTTTAATAATAATTTTTTTATTTATAACTTTTTAGCTGTTTTTATTTTTAATAATTATTATTATATTATTGTAACGCGGCAATTCGATTTTGGTTTGTGTCGAACGCACGCGCGCTACTCTAGTGGCAACGCGCCACCACACTATTTTCTCTTCCCCCGCTTCCCCGCCACTGACCGCTCGACGCTAGAGGGAACGAGTCCCGCGCCGGAGCCGCGACGCACACGCCCATATTTGTGCCGCGAATATTCTTTGAGATTTTTATATTATTGTGCAACTTTGTTTTATATTTAGTTTATTTCCAATATATACAGTTTACAGTCATTCGTGTGTCGAACGTTATTTCACGCCCCTGAGAACCCACCACCAAGAACAATCGTCCTCAACTATATTACAGTGACGCCCAACTTGCGGCCACGAACGAACTGTGAATAAAAACTCAAAGTTACAACAAGTTCTAGTGTTTCTATCGTGCAAACACATATTGTGAACTCTCTCCGATAGTGCAATCACACGAAAACTATTGTAAAACCAGTGCAAATACGAAAGTGAAAACACTTGGGCGAGTCCATTTTCCGCGTGCCGCCGGTTGCGTCTGTAGGTATATACCTACCGACTCGTTGAAGCTACCATCCTTAAAATCATCACCCGTGCTCTTCGAGCGAGTAACAGTTGGAATTGCCTGTTATCATGCCGCCGAAGAGAAGAACTGGAAGAGATGAGGGATCGGATACCGACACAGATGTCGAGATAAACAGAACCGTGATTTCGTCCCCGAATATTACAATGTCGGAGGATATGCTAAATACCCTTGTCTCTAACATCACTAGGAGTCAAGTGGAAGCAAACAGAGTTCTGATTGAGAGTATTTTGGCGGGAAACAAAAACCCGCTGATTACGTCATCGCCGCGCGCCGAAGCCGCCAACGCACACACGCATGCGCCGCGCGCAGGTAACTTCGCGAAATGCACGGCGCGATTTAACGGATCATCGAGGAACGCGGATGAGCTCGAAGCATTTATCGAGGCCATCGAAGTCTACCGCGACTGCACCAACGTCAGCGACGAGCACGCGCTGCGCGGCCTCCCGATGCTGCTGGTGGGCGAGGCCGCCGTCTGGTGGCAAGGAGTGAAGCCGTCGGTCACGTCGTGGACCGACGCCCTACAACGACTTCGAGGGATGTTTGGAGTGCCGCGACCCGGTTATAAAATACTTCGAGACATTTTCGCTACCGAACAAAATAGTGAACGGGCCGACGTAGTTATTTGTAAAGTGCGCGCTTTATTATCAAAATTACCGTACGTAGTACCGGAGGTAATGAAGTTGGACATTGTATACGGGTTGTTAGATCGTAGGATTAGAAAACGCGTGTGTCGTGATTCCTTCGACGGGCTGGAGCAACTCATCACCAAAGTCAGGTTAGTCGAGGAGTCACTGGCGGAGGTAAGTTCCCCCATTTGTAATAATAATACGAGTTCCGTTGACTCGTGCGCCGCGCGTGACCGTTCTGACACAAACCCGAGTCTTAAGCTTTCGAAAACCGTCGCCGAACCCGTAAGTTCGAAATCGTCATGTAGCGCGAGTTCTTTAGTAAGTTTACGTGATGCGGCCGTGTTAGGTCAGGCCTCCACGTCTAATGTAAAGGATAATAGTGACGTACGAAAACGTACGCGACCGAAGTGTAGTTATTGTAAACTTTTCGGGCATTCAGTTGATAACTGTCGTAATAAGAAGGAAGATACTTCTAATAATAATAATAACACTCAGTTACGTTGCTACGGATGTGACCAGCTGGGAGTAGTGCGCTCAAAATGCGATAAGTGCATAAGTACAGCCGACTCAAGTAAAGTAGATTTTTGCAGTACTTACATCGTAGGCGTGAGTGATAATGATACACAACCGCTTATAAGTATTGAGGTCGTTGACCGTAAGGGTGTGGCCATACTCGACACGGGGGCCACACATTCTATCGCGAGCCCTACGCTGCACGCTTTGCTCGTTAAAGCTGGCGTGATGTTTAGGACGGTCGTACGTACCGTAGGTCTTGCCGACGGGTCTCAGCAGAAACGTACCGCGCTTGAGTGTGACGTCGACGTCATATTAGGAAAACGCGTGATACCCACTACATTTATGGTGCTACCGAATGCACAAACGAGGACGCTGTTAGGTAGGAATTTTATTATGAAAGCGAATATCCTGCTGGATTTACCACAGTGCAGCTGGCGTTTTAACGACGAGTCGAGTTGGCATCTGTTTGCCGCCAGCCCCGCTTTACCTACCACTGATAGCATGGAGCCGACCGCGCTGACGGTTGACCAGAGGGCAAAGTTAACTGCTTCTCTGTTGGATATAACTAACCGCT